TCTTGGTAGGAACACTGAAGCCTGTTGCCTAGTTATAAGTCAGAAGATAAATGGATATAAATAGGTAACCATATGCCTTTGTTTGCCTAGGAAATACGTATTTGTACTTGTCCCACTTTAGTTATTAATAGTACCCTCTTTCCATCTAAAGCCTAAGAGTTACATAGTCATCCTGACTGTGAGAAAACCGAAGTTTTTTCCAGGCTCACTTCCTCCCCAGTGGGACAAATAAGAAAGAAGCTATCAGTCAGAGGAGCAGCTTAACACTAAGGCACTACACAGATGTTCACGGAGGGATTAGGACAGAAGAAGACACAAATCTGCACCAGCTCTTCTGAGTACAAGTTGATGTGTCTGTTTCTTCCCTCATTCAACAATATTTGTGATGTTGTATTTGGTATGTTGCCAACAATGCTGCAGAAGCTGAGGATTAGCATAAACATAAATGGAAAATTCCGCCTATAGAAACGGACAGTCTACTGAAGGAAACTCACTCATAAGCACACACACACCCCCCCACATAGGTGGGAGTGTGGGGGCAGAGCGAGAAGCCTATCCTAAACCCAAAGCCAATAGGATTTGCTGTTATCTTGGAAGTGAAGCAAAGGAAAAGAAGATAATCTTTTTGTCTTTATATTCTCAGCATACATAAGAATAGGAAGTAATAAGGTTAAAAACTCTTGGAGCTGAAATGTAGCTCAGCGGTAGAGCATGCTTATTAGCATAGCCCAGATGGTGTGTTTTCTTTCAGTCAAAGACCACAACAATAATAACAAAGAAGAAAACAAATGAAAAACTTAGTTAAATGAAAACAAGAAAATCAGTAATAGTAATAATGAAGAAGTTATATTTTTAGTATTTCATATGTGTAACTCAAGTGAAAATACTGAGTAAATAGGAAGCTGTAGCAACAAAGCCTAGTATACAGGAATTAGCTCTAAGCTAAAGACAGAAATCTTGATGGGAATAGCACGAGACTGGACTGGACAAGATTACTTAAAAACACACACGCACGCACACACGAGAATTAAAGACTCAACAATAAGAAAAAGGAAGACACTCCAAAGGAAATTGAAGCTGGGAGAATATCAGAGGATCAGCATCTAAAAGTCAAAAGTGAAAAAAAAAATTAAAGTAGCAATCAATTGAGTTAAATTCTTTTGCCTAGCAGGTAAAATGAAGAGTAAAAACTGACAAGTTGGATTTGATAACATACACACATAGAGGCATTTCAGCTGTTTGTGTTAGTGAGAGCTATTTCAGCTCATGGGAATGACCTAATATACAAGAAAAGGCAACTGAGAGAGTGGAAAGTGGAGTCGGATGAGGCCTTGACTAGTCAAACGGGAGTGAGATCCAGCAGAAGAGAAGGGTGAGCTTTAGGAACACAGACCGTTCACCTACTGCAACAGGCTAAAACATAAAGGGAGATTATTTACTCAGACAGAGACTTAGAAAACAGGTACTGTAGGCTTAATGTGCAGTTTCAGAGCTGTTGTGGAGAAGGCAGAGCTGCAATTAACAAAGTATTGATGCTTCCAAGAAAGAGACGAAGCGGGAGAAGGTTAAAATTATGGAAGAATGTGAGCAAGGCAAAGAGGGAGGATGTCTGAGTAGCAAAAGACAGTAAAAACCATCGGTCCCTGGGGTCTTAAGAGGATTAAAAAAAATTATTGTAGTGGGAGTACTGAACAGTAAGCTGAAAAGAAAACAGTGCTAGTCATGTGAAATGCTTGCATCAGAAATTTAAGTGATATATTGAGTGGTGTTGAAAAGTCTTGAACATAATCATTTGAGTAGATTGTTCAAGTAACAGAAAACACAAGATCCCTGTGGATAAAGAGATCAAAAATAGAAAAGCCAAAGTTTTATGTAGATTATATAAGGATACTGGAAGCCACTAAACATGATGATCCAAATAGTGGGCAGAACAAAGACAGTAAGTCCATAGCTCAAATTCTCAGCAAATCACATGACTAAGAGAGATGCAGATGTTCAGAAAGGGAGGGAAAGGAAATATTGCCCAATGACATCTGATCTTACTGATGGAAGTTTAAAAAAAAAATAAATGAGTTGAGATTACAAAAAGCAGTTTTTATAGTCATGAACCAAAGAAAAGGGAAAAGGTAAGTCATCCACAAAATAGTAAGAACAAGAGAAGAAAGACATAACTCCATCTCTTGGTCCCATGGGAACTATTTACAAGAGCAGGATGGATGGATGATGTGAGGAACCAAAAGGAATGGTTGACACTGCTTATAAAATTATTATATATGTATTAATTATTCAAAACAAAGAATAGTTCTCATATGAAGTCTCTGAAGAAAAAAATTATAGCAAGATAAACCAATTCACAACAAATATATCTTAATAATTAAAGAGTCCCCTTTCCCAATTCACAATATAAACTTCTGAGGCAAAACCAAATGAATGGAGATAGCATGTAAACAACATTTTTATTACTACTGGTGAGGGTTAAAGGGTGGAGGAAATCCAGAGCACATGGGATTTGTGTGGCCTAAGGATAATATGAAGCAAAAGAAGAGAAGAGCCACTGTGGATCATTAAAAAATACCATTCCAGGTAACTGAAACAGATATTAATTTCACAAACATTTACTAAGCACCAACAGGAGCACTTGGTATCTTGTAGATCTTTGTAATTATTTGGTTTTCTTATCATTCAGAATACAATGACTTCCTAAAAGTTCCAAATATTCCACAGAACCTGGCACATAATCATAGTTTTAAACATGAATACTTCTAATAGACAAGCAGTTCAAATGAATTTGCAAGCAGTTTCTTTTAACTTGTAGCAGGGTGTGTTTGGGAATAACAGTAGTGATTGAGATAATAATTAAAGTTTTATTTAGTAACAACTCTCCAAATTGCTAAAGTATAATATAATTCAGTTAAAGAGAATTAGATTAAAAGTTAAGCTTCCTACAAATCTTTAAAAAGTTCTTCTCAGAAAACATCAAAAGAGAAGACCCTGCTACTTACCAATCACAGTACAGAACATATTCATAGTAGTTACATACTATATGTTCAACAACAAATGAGGAAATGTCATCAATCTACTTTGCTCCTGACAACAACATGCAAATTCTTTTGGTGCTACAAAGCTGCCAAGCCTGAGTTATTATACAAATGTACTCCAGCATCAACTCAGATGCAATCACGTCTCAACTTCTTTTTCAGTTCCACTATATTTTATCCTATAAAATAAACTCCAAAAAGTCATAACTCAAGACTTGAACATATCAATTATGCAACTCATCAGATAGGTATAGGAAAGAAAAGTGAAATGTGATTACTCCGGGAAAAACCTCTGACCTAGGAATTTTTTCTACTTCCAGAGACAAAACACAAAGGTAAAGGACAAGAGAACTGTTAAGAGGTTTGCAAGAGAAACTAACTCATTCCTCAGCGTACAAACACAACAGGAACCAATGGGGGGTGGGGTGGGAGTGGGGGAGTAATATTCAGTGGTGTAACAGGACTACAACCATCTTAGTGCCTAGGTTACTGTATTCTAAATTCTATATTTTCAATGGTTTTATATGCAAACTATTGGTTTTTTCATTTGTATATGTCCTAAGATGAATATCAGATATACCAATGTGTATATACATATGTATAGTAATTTACATAAATCATCGGGTATATTTTTATTGATGATGAAAATATTATTTAATATTAATCCATAACAACCGGTAACACTAACCTTTAATTTTTTCATCCTTTTATGATCAGAATCAAGATAAAAACATTCTTAGAGCAGTCAGTATTCAATTTAAGAGTCAATCATTGCCTTTCAGTAAGTTTTGGCTGGAAGCAATCTCAGTGCCTACATATAAAATGATGATGCTTCCTACTCTTGAATTTCATCTTAAGCATATGAGAAATAGGTATAATTTCTGACTTTAAAAATTGACATTTTACTACCAAAAACCATTATGAGAAAATTCTAGTAACCAAAACAAATAAATCAGCTTGGCAATTATATCTATATTTACTGTGCTGCCTCTAGTGATGGAAGAAATAATCTTTAAAGGAAATTTGTTTTTAAAGGCCCAAAAGAATGTTTATGCATCTGTATGCATATTAAGAATCACTGACTTCAAAGGAAAAACCAGTTTCATTTTATTTTTAAATTAGACTATTTTGTACCCTCTTATTTTTCACTAGTTGAATATATGCTAAAATGTATTTTAAAATATTAATACTTCCTTTCATCTTCTTTTATACCAAACCACTAGCATTTCATTCAACTGCTTTTATTTTCTTCTCCTATTCAATATTCATTTCCCCTTGAAGTAATTTTATGGGACTTTTTAAAAAATTAAGACTTTTCCTGTTTGCTAGCTTCTTTACAATTTGACTGTGTTAAAAATATTCCATGACTATGCAATTGTACACATTTACTAATTCCAGATTCGCCTTAGACAGTATATATTTATAAAATGGAAGGACTCATTAATATCTTGACTAAATCAATTTAATGTAACTTTAAGATAAATATATATAATATTAGCTAACTGTATTACATCAATCTATTCTCAGAACATTAAAAATTAAAATATTTAAGCTATCTTTTGTTTCTTTACCATAATTTCTCCCTATGGTTATCTACTAACATGCAAAACTAAACAAATAGGACATTTTCTTTTGTTCAAACATCACTCTTCATAGCATTTACCACCATCTAAAAATAAGATGAACATTATTACCTTGTATTTTAACAATATTCATTTTTAAAGAAGTCATTTAGCAGAATCAGAGACTGTTTTGTTTAGCATTACATAACATAAGGGAAATGTTTTTCATTTCCCCTTCTGTGCTAAAGATCTGCAGAGACGGACTAGAAACATAAAATTTCAGTGCCAAGATAACAACACAGAAGACACATTTTTAATAATAAATCTGCATGAAGACATCGTGGCAAAGCAAATATGAACATAAATATATTAAAAATAATTTCAACAAGTGGCATGTTACCTGGGTGGAGCTGGTGGCTACCGAGATGCAGTCAATAAAGCTGTGTCTTCGAGTGAAAAATGCAACTATCTGCTGCCAGCGTGAAGGCTCTGGCTCAGCCTGCAGTTCATCTGACGAGCCCTTTTTTGCCCAGTGTTTCTGCTTTGGGCCTACTGAGCCATGGCTAGAGCTAGTATTGCCTCCTCGACTGGCGCGAGAGTACAGAAGTGTGTTGTTTCCGAAAATGTAATTCATCTCTGCAGCCCTGCAGGTGGTTGCCAAGCAGTCTTACTTCTCTACCAGCTGCTGAGTGGTGAATGATCGGTAAAAACTGCAGCTAGAATTACAGCAGCATCACTTGTAGATCAGGGAAAATAAAAACCTTGAGAAATGATGCTCATTTTCTCTGTAGTTTCTTCCTATGAACGAGCTTGTATCTTCCTTCTGTACCTGTTAGCTGTATGATGGCTGAGTTTATTTTTGCAGACAGAAAAAGACGACATAAGGTGGATTTCTTTCTCGTGATTATTTTTTCACCAGCGTCTGCAGGAACCAAAAGCTGTTCTTTTGTTAGCTGATAACTAGACGGACTGAAATCCAGGAAGTGAGGTCGATTAGCAGGTAAAGAAGGATGTTATAAACACTGGGCTACCAAGACCCTTTGGGGCTGACTGATTTAACGCATTGGGTGGAGAAAGCCCGGGTTACTAAGTTTCAATCAGTGTAGAGTAAAATCCAATGGCATCTTCACTGCTTACATAAATTATAAATATGAACTGAATTTTAAAATACAAGGTTTCTTTCTGCTAACAGCTCTCATTGTTTAAAGTAATTTCATTACAAGAGTATCTGCTATTCACAAATTTGGACATCATAAAGGATCTTACATTATTTAGCATTGGTTTTTAAATTGAAGAGACCATGTGCTGAATTCTGAGGATCTAGTGTTAGGGAAAATATGTTTATAATACAGCACAATCATTTTATGAAGTATAATGATTTTTAATATTTTGATTACTGTGTCTACAACAGATTGATCAGCAAAATATATACATGGCCACTGGAGCCTTTATGATAAAAGAACTGTTAAGAAGGAATCTGTACCATCTGTTTAATATATCATAATCAGTAAGATTACAAGATTATGAGTTTACGCAAAAGAACAATAATAATTTTTGTATTATAAAACACTGTACAAATGTGCTCTGGCTCATAAATACTGCTTGATTTCTAATAAGCATTTTTTTTTTTTTTAAGATTTATTTATTTATTATGTATACAGTGTTCTGTCTGCATGTATCCCTGAAGGCCAGAAGAGGGCACCAGATCTCATTACAGATGGTTGTGAGCCACCATGTGGTTGCTGGGAATTGAACTCAGGACCTCTGGAAGAACAGCCAGTGTCCTTAACCTCTGAGCCATCTCTCCAGCCCCTAATAAGCATTTTTTAATCTATATTTTTCCTGTGTTTTTTCATCATAGCAGTTAATCTTAGAACTGACTAGTGTTTAATATAAATTCTTTAAATTTTTTAAAATTTAGTTTACGTGTATGTGTATGTGTATATGCCACGTACATGCAAGTGACCAGGAAGGCCAGAAGAGGGCATCAGATCATCAGATCCCTTGGAGCTGGAGTGACAGGTGGTTGAAAACTGCCTGTTATGGGTGCCTGAACTCAACCCAGGCCCTTTGGAGGAGTAACACATGATGGTAAACAATGAGCAATCTTTCTAGCCCCCATGGGATGCTAGTTAAAAAGCTCCCTAAGTAACTCTTAACACCTTCAAGTTCAAGAAGTAGATTCTGAAGCCTAACCTATGCCATGCTATATTAGTATATGTTACAATATATGTCCACTTTTTAAAAGTGTATGTGAACAAAAGTGCTACTTGATAATAATTGAGTAAATCAATTTTTAGTCCTGTATGAATACATCATAAACTGTAGGCCCAGTCATGAACATTTTTCAGATGTGGGAAAAATCTCAGTTGTGCACTTCACAGCAGAAATTAAATGTAACTACTGGACACAGCACTGCAGGTCACAACCCTGAGGTCCGCTGCAAACCAGGCTCTAGAAGAAAAGGTGCCTACATTATCTCTTTGGTTCCTTGCCTAAGACACGCCCCCAAAGAGCTGAGACCTGTGCGGGAGTATTAGGGATAAGACACTTTACCAAAGAGATTACAGCAGAGTTTGGTGTTTCTTTCCAAGGACTAGGAAAGCAGCTTGCAATCTGTGGTTCTAAAGAGATTAATTCTATTTAAGTCCAGTAGAGGAATATAAGAAAACATTAAAAGCTGACACAGATCTAAGAATCCTCTTTGAAGAAAAGAATAAGATCTCCTGAAAAACTAAGTTTTATTATGGACAAGGTATTTAATAAACAACTCATTAATACAGTTCATACAGAGAGTAGTCAGTTTGATCCCGAAATGTGTGCCATGAGCCATATATTCTGACAAACACCAAGAGAAAAGAAAAACTAAACCCAACACTGAAGTTTTGACGCAGTCTTTGATATTGTGGATTATTATGACAAAGACACTGAATATAAATCCCAAATACAAACCTACTTCCTCAACTTGCAAACAGTAATACAGACACAACAGCAATCCTTCAGTGTACACAGACTTATCCTAGAAAGCCACAGCACTTCAAAGTTGAGAGATCACATCATTTCACATTTCTCAAAAGCACAAGTATGCTCTAATATATAAATTTCCTATTCAAATCTATTCACTACACAATTTCCAATTTCTCAAAAAGCTTCTGTATGAAAATGTCTTGTTATCCAAAGTACAAAAAATCTAGGCTCTAGATTAGGTCATCCACTGCCCAAAAGTATATGCATACAAAACAGTATATGTATCAAAATCATAATTGGTCCCACATATTTTGATTGGGATGTAGAAGACAATCAAAAGTACTTTACCGCAAACCAAAATAACTGCTGTCAACATCTTAGGGTACATGGAGATTAACCTTTTATATAGTTTAGTGTTTCCTTTCAAATGACTTCTTTGTATGTCTGCATGACTCTCTGTCTGCCATGTAAATGCTCATGCCTATGGAGGCCACAAGAGAGGGCTTTGGGTCCCCTAGAGCTGGAGTTAGAGGTGGTTGTGAGTCACCTGATGTGGGTGCTGGGAATCAAACTCCAGTTCTCTGGAAAAGCACCACATGCTCCTAACCACTCAGCAACCTTTCTAGTCCCAACTTTCTCCTTTCACACTAGAATCCTAGCCTCACAACTGGAGAAAGCTTAGTTTAGGAAGGTGAACTACACATACACATAAACATCCATATGCATGTGGTGGCTCCTCTTGGTTGTTAACTACAGCTGGAATTAACTAAGGGTCAAGCAGGCAGGCAACTGTGCAGAATTACTCTTGGTCAAGTCATTTGAAGTAGGAAGAGCCAGGTTAAATCTGGGCCCCAGCCTCTGGTGGCAGCCCTACACAGGACATGGAGAAGGAAGGAAGGAAGCTTTTGCTCTCTGCCTGCTTGCTCTTTCGCTCTTGCTGCCAGGTCCATCCCTTCACTGTTATCAAGCTAATTCTGTGGGATTCTGATGGACACTTTGGACCAGCTGAGATATTCAGCTTTGCGGACCAAGCAACCATTAGATTCTTCCATTTCCTGTCAGGAGACAGCTATTGTTAGATTAGCCGAACAACAGCTTTGTAAGCATATCTATACATTCTAGCAGTTCTGTTTCCCTGGAGAACCCAGACTAGTGTACGTACACACACACACACACACACACACACACACACACACACACACACACACACACACAGTAGCCCTGGCTGGAGTGGAACTCATACAAATCTGCCTGCCTCTGCGTGCTGGGACTAAAGATGTGTACCACTATACCAGCAAAGTACATATTAATGATCATTATACAAAACTTAAATATCATAATAAGCTTAGGAGTATAATATATCTTTTAAACAGAAGTAAAGATACTTCAAAATTATACAGAATATCAATTATTTGCATACATATTTCCAAACTTACAAATCAACCCAGAAGCCTTTATGTATAATTACAAAACAAAATATTAAGTAATCTTAGTGGACAAAGAGTGCTATTTATTTAGAAAAGCAAACACACAAAGACAGACAGACACACAACTCTCATTTAAGTAAATCCCTTCTGTATGAGCACCACCTAGTGGTCAAACTGTATACAAATTACATGGTCTTAGTTTAAGGCCACCCCAACAAGAAACGAAAAATGAAAAAAATTTTACATGAAAAAAATCCTTAGGGCCGGAGAGACAGTTCGGTGGTTAAGCACACGTATTGTTTTTTCAGAGAATCCACAAGAGTCCCAGTGCTCAAATCAGACAGCTTTACAATCAACTGTAAATCACTCCAGCTCCTGGGGATCCAATACCTCTGGCTCTGGGGTGGGGGTGGGTGGGCGTAAGGTTGGGGGAGGGGGGTGGTTGCTTGCATGCATGTTCATGTGCCTGTGCTAGCGAGTGCATGTACATACACAAACCCTGACATACACATGCACACAAAATTTTTAAAATATTTAAGAATGAAAACTCCGGGGGCTGGAGAGATGGCTCAGAGGTTAAGAGCACTGGCTGCTCTTCCAGAGGACCTGAGTTCAATTCCCAGCAACCACATGGTAGCTCACAACTACCTGTGATGAGATCTGGTGCCCTCTTCTGGCCTGCAGTCATACATAATAAATAAATAAATCTTAAAAAAAAAAAATGAAAAATCCAACACTTATATATTCCAGGGTTGTAAAAATGAGTTAATTTCAAAATTGCTCATTATTTACTTGAAACAGGAATATATTCTCTTTTTTTGGAAGATTTTTTATTTTTTTTAACCTTTCTTTCTCTCTCTCTCTCTCTCTCTCTCTCTCTCTCTCTCTCTCTCTCTCTCTTTCTTTTGGTTTTTCGAGACAGGGTTTCTTTGTGTAGCTTTACGCCTTTCCTGGAACTCAACCAGGGTACCAGTTAGGAAAGGGGTGTGGCAGAGGGCTCCTGGTACCCCGGTACACTGAACTGAACTTCAATGCTCAAGTCTCTCCCCTACAGTACTTACTCCAGGGTTGTTTCTAACTTGGCTTTCTTTAACACCTTGTTTAAATGTCGACTTTCTTATGTAATGTGATTCCTCCTATTATTTTATAACATACTGCGAGGGTTAGTTTTAATTATCCACCCGGCAGAGTCTAGAACCATCTGGGAAGGAAGTCTCAATGAGGGACTGTGGATTATAATGGCCCATGAGCATATGTGTGGGGACTAACTTGATTAGTGGGAAGATCCATCCTCCATAGGTGGCACCCTGTCTGGGCACCCAAGTGAGCAGACACTGTGTGTGTGGTTTCTTAGCTTTCTGGTTTGACTGTGGATGCCATGCAACCAGCAGCCTCCAGTCCCATGCGCCCTGACTCCCCTGCCATGAGCTGTAACCAGCAATTCGGAGCCAAATCAGCTCCTTCTCCCTCGGGACGCTTGTCAGGGTGTTTACCACAGCAGCGGAACCGATACGGTATAATCATGCTCCATCTAACTTCCCATTAAAGGACTAACCACTGAAAGCTAAATCAGGATTACTCTAGAATACCTGTTTATGTTTTTGAGGTATAAGCAAAACTGTTATCTAGCAATTATGGCTTGGATTTCTTTGTTTTTGATTGTTTTCAAAGAC